TCTTTTCGGACCAGGCCGACATGGTGAAGGGCAGCTCTCTACCAATGCCGTACACGCCCACGTCTTCGTTGCTCGCGATTGAAGACAGCTCTGCCGCCGAACGATGGTCGGGTTGCGGGTTAGCGCAAGAAGAGGAAGGCGTTAGGCGTTTCGAGGTTTTCTTATGATGAAAGGATCGCGCTCACCAGTCCAGTGGGAAAACGTTCGAAACGCCCAGACCCCGGCGCTGAAAACCCACGTTGGCCTGCTACCAAGCTCACAGTCCCGGAGCAGCTACGCCATCCGAAGACGACACGGCAGTAAGAGGGCAGGCGTTTTTTGTGGGTTGGGTCGGATACAAGAATTTGTCGGTTGCGTTGATCCGAGCAGCCTGCAGTTCCACGCCCATGAATAGAAGGACGTTGCACCTGCTGTCCAACCCCACAGCAAAACGGCGCAAAAACAGGATGTCTGATCCCTGCCGTAATATCATGCATTGCCTACTGCTGTTCATGCAGTCGGATGCTGCGAACTACTCGGCACACTCTTTTCCTCGTCGCCGTTGCTCGCTCTCTTCAGGTGCTTCATACCATATGCTTCAGCGCAGGTGCTAGCCAAAGAATTGCACATTAAAAACACAACTCCTACGCCAGATTCTTCACTGCAGCATTCGTCGACAGACAACCAGGACATGCGCACGGGCTTGCAGTCATCGTGCCTTGGTTTAATGTCCTCATCTGGCACTCGCAGCCACCCGTTAGCGACCCCGAGAACGCTGCCGGGAAAAAGGATAGCACCACCTGCAAAAGCACAAAAAACAACGGTTTCGGGCACCGAATTTTTTGCCGAGTGTCTGAAAAAAATACTAGTCTATGCATTCCCGCTGTACCACACCCCACGATGTGGGCCGGCATTGTTGCAGGCACCATGCTTCTGAATGTCCTTCCCACCGCCAATGCCCGCTACCCTTCGCACTCGAAAAATGTGAAGTTAGTGCAACATGAGGTACAGCTGTACATGACCTGCCATGTTGCAGGACAGGGGAAAAACCACTGAAGTACTTCTGCGACTGCCCCTGCTGCCACTACGCTACTCCTGCTCTACGTGAGGAGACACACTTATGTTTACTAGACAAGAAGAGAAGAAGTGCCTACCAGGTTATCTCGACGCGACAGATGGACAGAGCACCGGCCAGGTCAGATACTGTACCTCCATTCGAGACGAAACCAACGGCATGTTTTTTCCGGAAGACACACGCGTCGAGGTACAAGGACTTTGCAAGCAACAAATATGTTCTGTTTGTGATAAATGCTATTATCGCATCTAGAGGATTTTCTGGGTCCACGCACGTTTCCTTCCGTTCTTGGTTTCTAGAATGGCGCATACCCCTTTTGGGGGTAGTTGGCTTGTGACCGCGGAAGGCGTTCGCGTCAGTTGGACCAGTGTGGATGTCAGAAGGTAGTGAGCGGAGACAGGAACGGTCGACATGTGAGACAACAACAACAGCATCAACAAAAGTCAACAGAGTATCAGCCTTCTCTTGGAGAACGCACATGGTTCTGCACCGTGCAGAAGAAAACAGGGGGAAGAAAGAAACACGCCGGAAAGAAGACGCATGGGCGAAAAAAAGATAGTCCGTGGATAGAAGAACCAGTGTGTGGCTGGGACTAGAACTCTTGACCATATCCTCGACGATCCATCCAAGCCAACCAACACTCCACTCGGTCTTCTATTGTTGCTACGTTTATACGGTACCAAAAGAAGATTATTAACCCAACCATTGAATTTTACTGAATACCGCTTGTTCATGTCTTCACTCTGTGTCTGTCTCGCCCGCTCGCGGAAACCTCCCCAACCGGTCAGCGGTGGACGCCTCAATCAATCTGGCGCGGTCCATGTGGGTCAGACTTTTCACCTCTCGATGGGCGTGTCCCAGTCAAGAGGACATTGCTCCATTTCTTCTGTTCATATTTCTCCGCTCAGTCAGCAGTGACGACATGGACGGGCCGTTTGTTTTCTCCGCAACTTCGACCTGTTGCATTCTCCGCACTATATTTAATCCGCACATATACTCACGCCTCCGACCTATCACTGCTCAGATGCTACACGACGAGCAGGCATCGGGCGCGCTTCTGCCGGTAAGGCTCGTTCCTCTCCAAGATGAGATATCCAAGCGTCCATTGTTATACCACTACCTCGTCACCCCCCTTCACTAAATATGTGGTGACGATTTCCGGTATCTACGTTGCACGCAACTTGCTTGGGCGATAGCGTGCGTATCCGCGGCGTTACCGACGCAGATCTACGTGAATTGAGAGCGCGAGGAATCCATCAGGCTTGTGTGTATGCATATATGTCCCACACGGCTTCGTTGATCATGTCGTCAAAACATGCATATTATTTGCATCGATGGCGCGAAACGGCTGACCAAAGAAAAGACGTCAGTCTCAGCGCGGTTCAAAACACAAAATGCTTCTGTAGAATTGTATTCATACAGAGACCATGCACCGAAACGACGTGTATGTGCCGCTCCAACACCACACCGACCGGAAAATACATCATGCGAGGAGAAAACAAACATTCTGTGCACATGCATTTCATCATCATCATATGTCGCATCATCTCACCCAGCAACTACCACACACAGCACATAACTATGTATTTGTATTTCTTACTAGAAACTAATGTGGCGTATCAGGAGAGCGAAAACCCACAATATTCGTCTCACAGCATATGTGTATCCCGATGGGGCGGCGGAGAAGGATATATTTCCCCCCCTGGATGAAACGCTTCCTAAGCCATAAGTACTGATTTCTCGCAAACTACACCTGCCGCTATATACATTTTTGCCCCGGTCCAAAAGCCTAAGGATATATATAAGTCGTGTCCCAACCCGACCCAAACGGCTCGGTTGCTTTCATGCACCGTTAGTAGTGCTAGGTTGATGTGGACGGGCTGCCCAACGAATTTTCCGAGAAATGGCATTCCGACAAGCAGACCACCAAGCCGGAAGAAGCACTATTGCTGTACTTGAGGTGTAGTTTCCATACTGCTGTGCGCACGACACCGGGTGCAACCCCCCGTCACTTTTTGTCGGGATCGAAAGGGAGACGCACAACAGCAGTAGAATGCTTTGTCTCGTGGCATGCGGAATTGGATGCTGGTTGTCGCGTGTCTGCATGTCGCCAGCGCACAAAGAAGGACCACGTCAGCCTCGCAATGTGTGAAATTTGGCCTGGACTGTCAATAACCGGGCTCTGGTTGGGCGAGGGGTCGTTGATCTCGGAGACGCTTCTTTCTGCCCTCCCTAGCGCTGTGCGACGTCCGCTACGAGAGCGCGCGGCACAGCGGGAGGGCCCTTGCAACTCAGGGCGATCGGCAGCTGCAAGTCTCGCAGCGAGGCAAGGTCCAGTGGCCAAGGAAACGCAAACAAAGCAAAAAAACAGCTCTAGACACACGAGAGTATCAGGATTGCAAATGCTGCAAGCTCGTGCACCCCAAGCCCGCAGAAAGTTCGTCCAAATGATCATGCTTTTTACCCGCACTACCGAATTCCCATCCTAATTGACGCGGTGGCTTTTGGTCGAGAAGACGTCACAAGCTCGAACCGACAGAAAACGAGTTGAACCGTCTCCGAATTCTGTTGGAATATGGGAAGCCTTCACGCGAAGCACGGCTAACTCGTCGACGAATATGGAAATCCTTGCGAAATTCTTCATAGGCCAGATTTCGATAGCTACGACAAACCGTTTGGCGCCTTTGCTAACACTACCACACGTTGAAAAATCAGTAGTAGACTAAGGAGGGTAGACCTAGACGAGCTGAAAGTTCCCTCATAGTTGTGTGCCTTACGTGTGACTTGAAGCCAGGGAAGATCCTGACGTTTGAATCGAATGCTTCTCGGCTTGCCGATGGCTTGACGATTGTGACATTGACAAGGACGGACTTCGTGCAGCGATCCTCCTCGTTATCTCCGCAATCTCAGGGGGATCACAACATCATCCCATAGAGTTTTTTTCCCCTACCAGTACCGGTGGAAAATGGGGCAGAATCCCCTGCGGCCATCGGCATGTGACACTCGGGTGGTGTGTTGGGGATGACGCAAACCCTACTTAGGAACAATCGTTTAGACTATGGAGGAACGTTGTACGTTTTCGTTAGAATCAATCAAGGGCGTTGTCATCCGCAACCGATTTGCTTTATTAAAAAGCGCATGTTTACTTCCCAAAATGATAGAGTGCAGGTAACCTCATCGTGTAGGCTATATTGAAACAAGCCTGCGGCCAAGCCGCTTAACACCTTTTATGCGTTCCACGTGATGCACAAGTTGTGCACTGATTGCGCTTTTGTAACGACTGAGGGAGCACTGGTGTTCACCTTCGTGTTCGCTCCTATAGGGCTCACGGGCTTGAAGTTGGAGTCCGGCAGCTCGAATGATGGGGCCAAATCACCCTCACGCACCCAGCCGTCACCACCTGGTGCGTCCATGTTCTCGGTACCCGGTCAACCACGTGACAACGTGTACCTTTGGGTTCTCAGCGGATCAACCGCAACAGCAGCGGTAATACCCTATGAGCTGCGAAAGGAAGCCGCGGCGTATTACACGCCGCGTTTTGCTTCTAACGTGGTCGACTTCAGACAAGTCTATCTACAAGAACCTCACAACCTTTGTTTTCACCGAGGGGTCTCCCGTTGCAATCTCGGGTGAGTCATGCACTTGTTCAACGGACCAGGTCCGCGCATCTCAACGGCAGAGAAAAGCTTCATACGTACTCTACAGCAGTATTCCCCGTAGATGCGTAGGCGGCGGAATGGCGGTAGAGTGCCTAACAAGTCATTGGAGATTACGGAGATTTCGGAGATGTTACGTACGCCGCACGCTGAAAGCCCCACGCCGAACCTGGCAACCTGTGTGCCAGCTTGCAAACCGGTGTGGCAGCTGCTGATTAGCTATGCATCAAAGGTATCGGGCATGAGGAGATACGGCTCTCGCCTCCATATAATTCAATTAGAAGGAAAAACACCTGGTGAAAACAGGAGTTTCCTGTTCCCAGCTCGGCGCTTTTTCGCTCGAACACAGCAGGGGCGACATGCGACGTTGGAGAATACCGCTGGCGGCAGCCCTATTGAGCGGTGCGTCCGCGCTATTCCTCTACGCGTGCACCGCTTACCGGAGAGCGGAAGACGGGGACATGCATGGCAGCCCAACGATTGACTTCGAAGATGGGTCGTGGAGAACGGCCAAAGGTACTAAAGGGAGAGGCCGGGATGAAAAGGTGGCGTACTCGGTCATCGTGGTGGCTTCAAACCCCCGCCCGTCCAACCTGTTTCGCGACAGGAAGAGGGTGAAAGCGCACAGCAGAGGCGTCATATCGGTTCGATTCGCCGATCCAGTCCCGCGGGACGTTGTTAGAGATTACGCGTTTGGCGTTGCTCACGACAAGCGGGCGGAACGGCGCCTCAGGATGATTCACACCGCGGATCTCGTCGACAAAGACCAAGCTCCTGATCCAAACCAGGTAGACTATGCATTCATACTATTTAAGTGATGGACACACACAAATCGCAGCAGTTTCCCCGATTGCCGTGCTTGGTAGACTGACAAAAAAGGCACGCATTTCATCTTTCGATTTAGTTAGACAAGTATCACTTCATGAGTTTTGTGAGAGCAGAGAAGGGTTGGTGCCGATGGCGTGCTGGCATGTACGAGTCTACTATAGCAGCAGCCACGCTGGCTCTGTGTCTGGGTGAAACGGTCGTCGGCCCCAACTCAAACCGCATACCCATGGCTCAGGCGGTCAAAATGTGTGCGCAAACCTTTTGAAGTAGGACTGCGCGTAGCGGGACTCTCTCACACAGAAAAAAACTTGCAATCCTCCTACTGCAGGCACCTATTACCTAACTCCCCGCGGTACTTTCCCGTTCGGCGGACCTTTTGCACACCACAGTTGAAGGCATGTCCTAACAGGCATGTGTCTATCGGTTGTGTTATGTTCGTGGGCATCAACACTCCGTACTGCACGGACGGTGCAATGCTGTTGTGACGGGAACCTTTCAAACAGATGTCACACCTAAAGGCTGCTTGCGAGGATCCTACAGAGCGGACGCTGCTGCTCGTGACGGATGAGACGTGCTTGTAAGTCATCTGGACTAATCGCTTACGGCTCCCGGCTTATCTTCGTTTCGGCAGAGATTTTTTGCGCGGCAACTGGCTGTTGTGGGGCAGTAGTCCCGGGGTAGTGCAATCATTATCCTTCGCCAAGTATTTTGGTGGAATGGAACAGGTCTACAGCAACCCTCGCACTTTGCCTCGCATCCGATGAGTTTCTGACACTCTAGTCGGTACTCGACACCAACCGCATTTTTTTTTTGTCCTGGGAAGCCGACGGGAAAAAATCGAACCACAGGTTGGAGGTCATGCCAGGTTCCAGCTTCCCCGGTGCTCTCTCCACAAGACCTATACGTTCCTGATGTAACGGTTGCATTTTCTTGTACAAGGTCGACGCGTAGGGTCCATCTTGAAAGCGTTTGAACGGCGGTGCCTCTGCTATTGAAGCGGCTGTTGGGCGGGACCTCTCACCTGGTTGGAGTCTATATGGAGGTAGACGTTTTTTGTGTTGTTTTAGTGCCATGATTGTGGCGGACGTCGGCATTTTAAGTCATTTTGTGGAGAGGGCTTCACCTCAAGCATCGGTTGAAGGCGGCACCTCCGTTCGCGGACGTTACAGTTCAGGAAGCGGCAGCGTCAACGTCATGCCATGTACTTGTTTTCGTGTGGACCAACAGAGCTTCTACTAATAGCTGACTTTTTGAAACGGTTGTTATTTCTGTCTTCCCCTCCTCTCAGGAACCTCTATCTCCCCACCAAGCTCCCGGGCGCGTGCTGGTCAAACGTTGCCCGGAATTACCCCTACAACAGACCAAGGTGTGCTCGCATCGCATCTTTTTGTCGTGGGTGTGCACTGTTTCACGGAAAGCGTCGTGCCGCGTAGACGGTCCGTGCACCACCGTTCGCGCGTCCCCTGCGTGTTGACATCCCACGACAGATCGCTTTTTCCTGTCTTGTAGGGTGGTGACCAACCGTAACCCCCCATCACAATCGCTTATCGTCGAAGTGTTTCTTGTTTGGTTCCTTCTGTGTGTATTTTTTTTTCAGTCTATGGCCTTGGTTCTGACTGAAGAGCTCCAACCTGAGGTCACAAACAAGAGTTCCTCTGCGTGGTGCATGTCGCATGCGCCCCCATCGCATGCGTATGCATGCCCTTATGATAACTCTCGCAGGGAGAGAAGCGGCTCCGTGACAAACAGCACCTCTTTGGGGCGCACGACGTCGGAACTATGCAGAGGCTGTTCCCGAAACGCAGAACTAGTCAACCAATTACAAAGCCTGGTCTAGCCTAGCTAGGACTGCTATCCCCACTGTTCAAGTTCGTGCGCGGGTCTTAGGAGCTCCGACGTGTACCAAGGGTGAAGGCGCTTGCGTCTTGGTGGTGCTCCTGCTTGTAGTGTTTCATCGCTCTGTACCGCCATGGGCCCTCCTTCTGTCAGGTCGATTCATCCGCTCTGTTCTCTGTTCTGCCGTCCTTTTGATTCAATGTAGATGTGGAACGACTTGATAAATATTCGTGTACGCACAGCGTTCGACGGCCATGCATAACCCGCCCTGCAGAGGACCCACGAGTGTATCGGCATGAGTATCACGCTGAACGCTGTTTGAGGTTTCTCGCGTGGTATGTTACTCCGGTCCAGGACGAGTTTGAATCGATTGAATTTTGCTGCAAGATCGTGAACTTCTTTTGTTGTCCAAGGTTGCACGATTCCGCCCTCAGACCTTGCAGCAAGAAAAATCCTTAGGCTACGCATAGGACGCTCTGAATCCACCCCCTTATTCTCGTTTGGAGTTAATCCCATTTGCCACACAGAGCTTTGTCGAACGGTCCTCCAGTCTCGGAACCCTGATCGTGTTTTGTTTTCGAAACCATGTGCTTGCCCTGCGCTGCAGCGCCGAACAAGAGCAGAGAAACGCGTACATTCCACTGGGTCCCCGGGATAACTTCGCCTTCGTATCGGCCTCCGAGAGATCGCCCGCGTCCACCAGGCCTGTTTTGCTCAATTTCGTGGTAAGCAAGCACTGGGGTCGTTCCGAATTTGCTTCCCGAGTCAAGGACCGGAACCTGGAACGGTTCTCTGATTCTTCATTTGCTTCTTGTCGAATGTTTCTTTTTCCAGATCTGCGTCGAGGAGTGTCAAGTTGGAGCCAGCCGCCCTTCCTCGACGTTTCGCTCGATCAAGCCTCACCACGCCCCGAAAACACTAGCTTCATTATTGTACTCAGGCTCTACGTCGTATGCCCCTCTGTGTTCCTTCCGCGCGCGTCCACGGCCCGACATGTCTACGACGGGCCGCGTTTTCCTCTGCCCTCCGAGATACCATCACAACCACATACCCATTGGTCGAGAAAGGCCCTAGCGCAAGAACTCTCGATTTTTTGCTTGGTGGATTTATGTTTTTTTATTTTCTCAGCTTGTCGCCTGTATGTTTCTCGTGTCGAAAAACAAGCCTTCCCGTGCTGCGTCGCCGCCGGCAGGTAGACCCCGAAACTTCCAGCCGCCGGGCACATTTGGCGGAGGTCGTTTCCGACTACCAGGCTCTGCATACGGACCTCGAAATCTACGCGAGCACCACCCCAGACCTGAACGCCTCGCAGTGGAGAGACCTGCTGCTGCGGTCGAGGTTCACCGTTTCTCCTGGGGGGCACAACCCAGAAACTTTCCGAACCTTCGAGGCGCTGGAGGCGGGGTGAGGGGGTTATTGTGGTGTCCGTCTTGTCGACCCCAATATCGCCCTCAAACGTGCTGCCCGAACGAGTAGGAGAGCCTTCGGCAGGAGTGCCTGCCTTCCTGTAGGCCTGCCTACTACCATACGTGTTCAACGGTCGGTTGGTTGACACACACCAACCGGACAACTAAATGAAAACTCGGACCGTGAAAGCAACGGGAGGTATTTTTTTAGCGATTCCGTTCGACGCTCTTTGCGTTTGTCGGAAAGGCAGTCCACTGAGAATCAAGAGAACCTCAAGCGAAATGAAGCGGTTCGGAAATCTGTGTGGGGGTATTCATATGCGTGCATGCGTCGATTGTAATTCTGCAGTGCCGATGTATGACAGAGAGGCAGGGGTATACAGTATTCATGGTTTCGAATGAAACGCTCTGGGCTACATAAAAAGCGTCGACCACCATTTGCGCAAACCGTACACAGCGGGCATTAGAGGTTGGGGTTTTTGGGTCAGTTTTGGATTAGTTTTGTGTGTATGGCTGTTTTTCATGTTGTAGTAGGAACGCATTTAGGGCCAAGCTTTCTTTGTGTGATATGATTGTTTCCAGGTTAATTCAGTCGTTCGCAGAATTTTCGATTTACAGCTGTTGAAACTCGAGCATTTGGTTTTGCTGCGTCTCCTCCGTGCCTCATGTGTCTCAGGTCGATTCCGATCATCTCGAAGAGCGACTACACGGACCCGGCTTTCCACAAAGAAATAAGAGTGGAGGCCTGCGGGACCGGGGATGCCGCCTGGAACACCGTCGCCGCGTCGCCCTTCGCCCAAGCAGTGTCCGTCAACACCTGGGACGAACTGCCCGAGCTGTTGGACCGCCTGGATGCAGAGACAGATAGTTTCCTTGACCGCCTTCAGGTGAAGTCTTAACCTTGGATACGGTCGTCCTACAGCGCAGTGTTCCATCAACAGCAAACCCCGGTGCCGTGCTATATCATTTGCGTTTCGCGATCGACCACCAGCGATAACAGTAGAAGCATGAGGTGTCCTCTGCAGCATAGGCTATGTTGGCCTTGTCTTTGCCCGGGGAGTACATGTACCCACGCGCGTAGCAGAGCTAAATGTCAAGCACGTTGTGGTTGATCTTCTGCGGCCTTTCCCCCCCCGCGATTGATCACGTGTCGGCCGTTTCGATCTGGGGCGAACAGGCGGATTGCGGTGAGTGGTACGACGCGCTCATGAACAGGACGTACGCGAGCTTGCTCCACTTTGGCGACGGGTTAGATCTGTGGCCCCAGGCAGGACCGATCCTTGCCGACTACCGCAAGACCCCCGGGTCCGTTGGACTGCCTTGAAAAACTTGTCTTGCTCCTAGCCCCGGCCGGAAGATTGTTTGCGGAGAAATTCTGGCCAGCTGCAGCGTGGGTGGTCTAGGCAACGCGGCGGCCCCGTCAGACGAACCAAACGTTTTGTCTATACCAAGATCTCTGAATTTTGTGACTTGAAGCGGTCCACAAAAACTGTCATGGTTGATGATATTGATTGAAGATCAACACCGGCCAGCGCCCATCGTGACCCTGGGTTGGTGACGGCGCGTTATCAAGCCTGCCGGTGGTCGCATGCGGGCGCCTCCGATCGGTCAAGGAGAAAAAGGGGAAGCAATCTGGAAACCTGCGGGAGGCCCCGTTGCTGCGGAGGTAAAACATCAATGCTACCAGGCCCTTATCGCGGTGGTGAGACTAGACACCGACCGCAGACGGCAGGCGAGGGGAGTGAATGTGGATTATGTCATCGGTATGGTTGACGACAGTCATGCTACAGAGTGGTGGCCCGCTTTCATCATCGAGAAGGGGTCGATGATACACGCCACGAGAGGGTTGTGATGGTACTCAGTGTGGGGCACCTAGCGCAAAGAAGGAAGAGGCCATAGAAGTGTTGTTCAGAGGTGGAATTAATTGGGCAACAGGTGTGGGGGATATGCCGAGACTGAGAGGCTTGTGAGAAGTACGAGTTGTGTGAAATCGCGAGAATATCGCCTTTCGTCCCGTTCGTTCCTCGGAGGTGAGCTGCAGGCAAGCCTGCCGGAAGTTTGGAACGTCATTTTTTTTTCCGATAGCCGTACTTTGTCAACACCACGTCATATTTGCATGTTTTTTTCGGTTGAGTTTTTCGCGTTGAAACCCCGCAAAACCTGCTGGCATGCCTCCTCTAGTTCCAGCACGTGATCGTTAAGTTTAACGGGGGTGCTCGGATGGTCAGAACACCCACGGCAGATAACTTCCGGCGTGGATGGTATCTGTGGAGGTGTTGTGAAATTGAGGCAGAGCGTTTTTTCTTGCCGAACGCGTGTTGTCGATGTCGATTAGTCGCCTCGTTTGTTTCATGTTTCTTGTCCACCCGTTTCATACCAAGGCAAGGAGCCGGGTTTGATCGGTTAATCGCGTGCCGATGAACGCTCTCTGGGTTCGTGGGTTTATGGTGTATTTCAAACTTCTAGTGTTGTTCAGGATATTCCTCGTAGATATGACTCGGTCTGAGTTAGACTCAGTTGCTGAGATGGAGCGGTAATGTTTGAATTCAGTTCGGTGGTTTTCCTGCTACACGTCCTGTATACCGTTCGCCTGCATGTACTTGATGTTCGACCGTAGTTGAACGATGCCGCGAATGATGAGACATTCCGCGCATCTTTCTCCCTTTTGTACTGGTGTTTGAAGTGATCGCTTGCTGTCACGAAGTGTCTCACGCTCTTTCCTTGAACCTTCTAGGAGAACGCTACGGTCTCTAGAGGTATCACAGAACGGTAAAACAAAATGTAAATGAATGAATGATCACGTTCAGTCCGAAGCTCCGACCCACGCACTTCTTTGACCCGAATGCCCTAGGCGAGAGGGATCAGACCATCGGCCGTCCTGCACTACTTTGGACACCCTCCGCAAGTTTCAGCTTAATTGGGGCCTCCGCATTAAAGTTTAGATGTTGCGCTGACCGGCCTTCTCAAGCACGAAACACGAGCATGCAGCAGGTGCTTGCGCCACCGCATTGCTCCGATCTCGATGAATTTGAGCCTAAACATTGCCTATCCTCCACCAAATTGAAGCCCGGTCCAATCTACAGCTGAATTGACAAGTCCCTCGATGCTGGAATGGCGGTGTGTCGACCAATTTCGCCTGCCAACGGGAGGTTCGGGCCACACCGCTTCAACCTTACGTGGAATTTATTCCGCCGCATGTCGCACGCACACAAGGAGTTGATGATTGATGACTCTCTCTTTCCTCGTCGAACGCACCCAAGCCGTAAGTATGGATTCGTTCAAACCCATTGTACAATAACTTCCGACCAACAAGCGCGTGGATATAGGTGACTACCTGCCATCACATTCCAATCTACAACGGGACTACCCACTTCAAGGCTGGGATCAGCCTGCCCACGACAGGATCGGGACCTGCCCGCGGAGGCTGCTTATTCTGCTGCCGGGTTTGGCGGTCACATACATTTGTTTGTTCTTATTTTTTCTCGCGCGCGCGTAGAGGGATGGAAGGAACGGTTTGTGGAAGGCGTGTTTGTGTATCTTTCTTCCCGAACAGTCATGCACTTACTCTGGATATGAGCGATTGACAAGTCCCTCGACGCTGCAATAGCTGTGTGTGGACCAGTTTTGCCTACCAACGAGAGGTTCGGGCCACACCGCTGCAACTTTACTCGGAGTTTATTCCACCACATGTCGCACGCACACAAGTTGATGATGACTCTATCTTTCCTCGTCGGAACGCACCCATCCATAAGTATGCATCCAATGCACAAAAACTTCGATCTCGAACAACTATCGCGTGCATATAGGTGTCTACCTGCCATTAAAATCTAATCTTCGAGGCCGGAATTAGCCTGCCAACGACAGGGTCGGGGCACACCTCCACACTTCACCTGCCCCGCGGAGGCTGCTTTTCCACCGCCGCCGCGTTTGGCGGTTAGTCTAGACTACATCCATTTGTTTGTGATTATTCGCGCCAGCGAATAGAGGGACTTCGGCTACCTTCGCCGTCAGGGAATTAAACTGGAGGCGTAGTATGTACTCTCGTCTCTAGTATTGTTTTGTTTGTATCTGTTAAATTTTGTCGCGCCGTTCTGAGAGACCTCTAAGTTACTAGAGGCATAAATAGCCATATAAACGGTAGGCCAAGCTCTGACAGAAAGGAGGGTCGTTCGTTTGATATTACGGCATGCGCGTTTCTGTTGGTTGTTTGTTGGTTTGTAGAAAAGACCATTCTGCAGTTCCGCTTTGGGACGACCATTGATGGCATAGACTATGCCATGATATCAACAAGCATTTACTACACTACTACTATCCACCTCCTTTTCTCACACCCGGAGAAAGCAACAACAGCAAAATTGACAGTGACAACAGCTGCATCCTTCCAGCCGCCGTGGCCACCACCACAAGCACCACCACCACCACCACCATCACCACCACAAAAAAACTCATCAAAATCATCAACAACTGCCAGGGTAGGCGCATCATGGCAATTGCCTCCGTCCGAGTTCAGCCATTCATTCGTTGGCCTTGTTCGAGCAGCCAACCTCAGAGCTGATATGCATTTGACGTCATATCTGACGACACAACGGAATGATAGGCCGATGTAGGAAGAATTGCACGCATCTTGGTCTACTGCAGTGGAGGTTGGTGTTTCATTCTGAGCCGCACAGGCTTCACTCCACATGACAACGCAAGCGCACAACGGAGAGATTGCAAGGCACAGCGACAAAAGGCCATAGCTCACTTGTATCAATCTTTGTAGTCGAGTAGAAGAACAATAGTGATACTTCTAATGCATATTACGTCGCTGCGTCGCGATAAATAATGAGAACCCGGTCGCAGTTCATTTGACAACATCGTAACCCCTCTGACGCTCGGTTGTGGGTTCGAAACTCTCCGGGTGGATGAAACGCGCCAGGAAACACGTTTGTATTCATCCTCCATGTGTCGGTTCCTTGTATATCAAGAGCAAGTCTTGCGTTTTTTCCTTAAGGCGTGAAGAAGTCGGGCCTGCAACAGGTCCATACCCCACAGCTACGTGTAAGAAAATCGACGCGATCGACTGGGGTGGTGGAAGGCAGAGTTGTGAAAAAGTGGCTTGGCGATATAGAGGACGCCCGTCCGCGCTGCTAACATAGCACCCGTTGCGTTGAGATTTCGTATCCCATGGGTGCGAGACGTCACCAAGGGTAACAGTATTTGCGATTGCCCTCCACGTGCAAGAACCGGAGGTCAGAGCGCCCGCACCGTTCCATGTTCGTCAGTTCAAGAGCATAGACTGCGGACATGTACTTGGTACAGAGTGAGAACCGGGCCAAAAGTGACTTACTACAAGCTAAAATATGCTCTTGTCCGGGGTGCAAGCAGAAAACTACAGCGTTCAAACTGCACGCATTTTCCCCTTGTGAATGCACACGTACCACCATGGCACTCTCCCGTGTGGGCCATGTGCCTATCTCTGCCGCATCAATGGTCCAACCGTCCCGAAGAGCCACCAAAAATCAGAACCAAACCTCTCCACCATTTTCGTTATCCTCCGCCTACCCGCATGTAAATCGACTCGTCTGACCCATTCCCGCTGGATTCCGCTGAAGAAGGTCGACACCGGAGCTACAACCGACCTGTTGTTGAAACGGGTTGCACACGTTCCCCGACTAGACTACAACTAGTATCTCTCATTACCTCTTCGACGACGGGTTCGAAACCAAAACCCTCAATAAACACGAGTTGGAGTTGGAGAGAGGGGGGGGGCAGTTGGTGTACTTCCCCCGATGCGGCAAGCTGTACGTCCAAAACGGTTTCCGCACACACACCGAACATGCCTGTGCCGCANAGTATCTCTCATTACCTCTTCGACGACGGGTTCGAAACCAAAACCCTCAATAAACACGAGTTGGAGTTGGAGAGAGGGGGGGGGCAGTTGGTGTACTTCCCCCGATGCGGCAAGCTGTACGTCCAAAACGGTTTCCGCACACACACCGAACATGCCTGTGCCGCAATTGCTGCTGGCAACGCGAAAGCGTCCAGCACTCCCGTTGACATCAACGATTTACACACATCCACAACAGTATGAGCTCCACTGACGGTGAGACGTAATCTGTGGTGCGTTACCTGTTGTACTACTGCTGTAGGCCGGAGTGTCGTATTACAGCAATAGTACGATCTCCCACGAACGAACATGACCTCCAAAGTGCCCAATCTCCCACATTACTGACAGTTTGGCTAAACCGCTCATGGGAGGGACTGTTCGTGGGTCTGCGAACATTGGTGTTGGATACATGTGCTGTATGATTTTGGTGTCACGCAGATTGAAAAGATTGCCGTTTGGTAGGGGGCTTGTGGTTGCGTTTGAGCGCCCGTTGTCGGCTGGCCTCTTCTTCCTTCTCGTGCCAGGAGGTCATGAACCTCTCAGCTCCCTGCAGCACCCCCGCATGCCAGGGTGCTCCCCCCTCTACCTTCGCGGCTTCCGTCCACTTTAACGTCGGTGCCGTGTCTTTCGGTACCGGGAGTCCGCAACAACATGGATAGGTTTTCGTAGATCCGTGGTCGGCCCCGAATGCCTTCAGGTCGTCGAGCACACACTTCGGCCAGTTCTGTTCCTGTACCACCCCTACGTCGCTTCTACCCCCCTGCCAGTTCGCCGAACATCAGTCGTTTCGGGAGTCGCCCGTCCGGTTGCCTTGCCAATGCTCCCGCGAACAGTAGGCGTCGTTGTCGGATCGTGGCTTCAACGCTCTGACATTCGACCCTCTTCAGCGTCTGGGCGTAAGAGAGCTGCCGGTAGGTGTCTTTCTTGCGCTTGTACCCGATAACTCGAAGGACCAGTCGGTGGTGTATCGACCGCAGCGTCTGATAGTGGCCGCGGAGTGGTGACCATGTCATGCAACCGTACAGCAGTGCCTCCATCGCCTCCGCCTGAAGCAGGCGGATCCTGAGTCGGAATGGCGCTTGCGGTCTAGGAGCTGCCCATGTGGGGCACTCCCTCTTTCGTGCATGTGATGGACGGTCGTCTACCTCTCATGAACTAGAGTTTGTCCCTCGAGGGAAGCCACATCGGGATGAGCTCTGCCGGAGATGAGGTGCCCACTGTTCGTGGGTCTGCGAACATTGTTGTTGGATACATGTGCTGGATGATTTGTGTCACGCAGACTGGTAAGAGTACCGTTTGGTAGGGAGCACGGCGATGATTCACGGGCCCCTCCTTGCTGTGGGAGCCGCTCTCTGAGCACTCCCTCTTTCATCCGTGTGAAGGACGGTCGTCGACCTCTCGTGAAGTTAAAACATGTTTGTGTATGTACTCGGCAGGATACNGTACCGTTTGGTAGGGAGCACGGCGATGATTCACGGGCCCCTCCTTGCTGTGGGAGCCGCTCTCTGAGCACTCCCTCTTTCATCCGTGTGAAGGACGGTCGTCGACCTCTCGTGAAGTTAA